AACGCATCCTAGGTCCCCGAGATTGTTCTATAGATTTGTTCGACCATTGCGTCGGATTTTCTCTTTTTTCTTTTCTCGCCATGCGTCTGACTTTAGGGCCGGTTCATTGGGACATGGTACTGGCAGGCGCATGTCAAGGAGATCAACTGAGGGAGTCCGCTGCAGTGATCATTGCCTTTTTCTTTTTCATACTTTCTGTGTCTCTCATTCTCTATTGTAGCAAAAATGGACCGGGGACTTGTCAATTTATTTTGGCCGACTTTTTGGATTGTTTAGGGCAGGTCAATAAGGGACTTGGAGAACGAAAAAGTAAAACCACAGCACCTAGGATTCCCATGTGGTCCCCCACCATGGTACTAACTAGGCGGCACTTTGGTTAACTGCGCAGATCGGACGGGATGCGGTGCTTTCAAAGTCCTATGGCCGTGGATAGTATTCAAGTCATGCAACACATTATAAGCCCTTGGAGGATTGTCCAAAGTCTTTGTCCGCTTTTTGTAGACTTTTGTATGCTAAAACAGTAATCCTTGGTTTCTGAAGGATCCATCAACAAACTTTGTAAGGAGTGTTATAACTTTTTGTAGACAACCCCATACTCTCTACAACATATCAAAGAATCGATTTTTCCAAGAAAACCGTCAACAAACTTTGTAAGGAATGTTGTGACTTTTTGTAGACAACCCCATGCTCTCCACAACATATCAAGAATCGATTTTTTCGAGAAAACCGTCAACAAACTTTGTAAGGAACATTATAACTTTCTGTAGACAACCCCATGCTCTCCACAACATATCAAGAATCGATTTTACCAAGAAAACCGTCAACAAACTTTGTAAGGAATGTTGTGACTTTTTGTAGACAACCCTAAGCTCTCTACAACATATCAAGAATCGATTTTACCAAGAAAACCGTCAACAAACTTTGTAAGGAATGTTGTGACTTTTTGTAGACACCCCCATGCTCTCACAACATATCAAAGAATCGATTTTTTCGAGAAAACCGTCAACAAACTTTGTAAGGAATGTTGTGACTTTTTGTAGACAACCCTAAGCTCTCCACAACATATCAAAGAATCGATTTTTCCAAGAAAACCGTCAACAAACTTTGTAAGGAATGTTGTGACTTTTTGTAGACAACCCTAAGCTCTCCACAACATATCAAGAATCGATTATTCCAAGAAAACCGTCAACAAACTTTGTAAGGAATGTTGTGACTTTCTGTAGACAACCCTAAGCTCTCTACAACATATCAAGAATCGATTTTACCAGGAAAACCGTCAACAACTATGTAAGGAATGTGTGACTTCTTGAGACACCCTAAGCTCTCTACAACATATCAAAGAATCGATTTCGCCAAGAAACCGGTCGACGAAGCTTTCTAAGGAATGTTGTGACTTTTTGTAGACAACCCATGCTCTCCACAACATATCAAAGAATCGATTTTTTCGAGAAAACCGTCAACAAACTTTGTAAGGAACATTATAACTTTCTGTAGACAACCCCATGCTCTCTACAACATATCAAAAAATCGAATATTTGACCCTTGCAATAAATTGTAGTGAACCTTAAGGACTGGTTTGTAGCCCTATGCAACCCTAGTGCTCGAAAAGTCGGACATACAAAGCACCAGAGTGCAACAATGATGATGGGCTACAAAAAAACCTACAATAATTTGAAGCAAAACACTGGAAATGCGAAATGGCAGATTCCTTAATCAAAATTACTAGTAAACGCGATATAGTGGACACCAAAACTCACGCCTCTGGCGCGACTTGACACAACATGACCAAACAAACGGGTTTTCCTACTATGTGGGAATGGGCTCAATGGCATAACAAAGGAAAGGCATGCAAAGGCTTAATGGGCTTTGTTGCTCAAGTGTTTGTTGACATTTCATCTGAAGGAAAAGGGTCCACAGTGTTGGCTTCATATATATGATTGGTAGACCACGGGTTCAGTTTTTCTTGTTGAAACTTCACAACAGATCAAGGTCATGTTGTAGCAGCTGGCGTCAACAATGTTGACTGCAAGGCTTGTGAATCATGACTGGCGTTGTTGAATGAAAGATGCAAGAGTATGCACTGTTCCATGTGTGTTGCCTTTGATGTGTGTTGTTGGCGTCGGGGCTCTACAAAGTAATTGCGATAGATCAAGGCTTTACCTGTCGATCGGCGTTGTGAGTGCATTAACTCGTGGACTGCAAGATTTGATGGTGTGAGGCTGGCGTCGTGAACTTTTTCAGATGAGTGGTGTTGACAAGGGCTAAGTCTGAGGATGTGATTTCTGTCTCTGTTGCTTACAGGGTCGATTGTGATAGATCAAAGTTCCATCGGTAGACTGGCGTTGCGAGTATGGATTGTCATCTCTCGTGAATTGCAAGGTTTATGGTTTGGAGCTGGCGTCGCATGACTTTCAGATGGAGTTGCAGTTGTTGCTTGAGAGTGTACCTGTTTCCCACAAGGCGGAAAGTTGGTTCCTGTCTACCATTGATGGGATTATTGATCCAGTACGCCGACGATGGTTGGCTTCCTTTGGACCGAGTCATTGATGTGCCTGCGTTGCCAGGATGTACTGACTTGGAAGATGTGAAGCACAGACTTATGGATGCACATGCACCTTGTCTGGTCTGAAGTCAAATGTCTTTTGTTAATAAAAGTGCGTTTGCAGTGAGAGAAGGATGTGGATTTATTGCCGATGGCCAAGCCTGTCAGTCAATTAACCACTCGGGGATCCGCCGTGACTGTGTGAGCCTTTCGAGGTCTTGTCGGTTGCTGGTAGTCCTCATAGAAGGCCGTGATCTTTGTTCTTAGCGAACAAGGAGAATTGTGTCTGAAACTTGTGAGATCGGGGGAACAAGGTGGGGGCGTTTCCTGACTGGCTCTTTAGACTGGGGATGCTTGCTCTGTGCAGGTGTTTGCTGTCCGGAGCTGGAATGGGGGAGCCTTTTGATATCTGTCTAGGTTGATGAACTCCGACCTCTGTTGGGGAGGTTTCTTGTGAACCTCCTTTGGAGGCTTGACGTGTGCCGTGAGGTGCAAGTCTAGGGAATAGTAGTTACCTGGTTGATCCTGCCAGTAGTCATATGCTT